TATATATATGGTTAGGGTTAGCCCTAACCATAGGGCTAACCCCTAACCCCTAACTGAAATGAGCATCCTTCATAGGGTGGCCAGGCTCAGGCTTAGAGATAGTGTGAGGAGCTCCATTATCTGGGTGGAGCTTGGAGTAGAGCCACTGCTCCCCCACCTGTTTTGCTGCCTTTTTGTTTATCCATTCATAGTTTCCATCACAAGCATGAATCAAATTAATTTTGTGTTACTTTTATATGTATTTTTTGAACATATGTGGTGGCAGCACGCATCCTGTGGACCTCCCTGCTGCATATTGCACTTAATAGCTGAGCTGCATCTGTGCCTCTCTTCTCTCCTCCTCCTGCAAGAGTCAGGAGACAGAAATAAGGTGGCATTACTTAATGGGTGTAAATTGCAACCACTAAATAATGTTTGTTGAGCTTTCTTTTTTCAGCGCCTACTTTTTGTGTTTTTCTGCATGTTCTCCATTGTCCTCTCTGTGTGTGTGATTAATTGACAGCCATGGCCTATGAGAAAGGGGCATCAGCCCTCGGCTGCTGTAATTTGTCCATCCCAGAATCAGTCATTCATGACTAATGGAATGATCTGTCAGTTCTGTGAAGCTACATACTGTATAAGCATCATAACTAAAAAGAAGAGAGAGGATAAAAAAATGGCCTGGCCCAAAATCACAACTGACCCACCAGGCAGGTGCCTGCTATGCCCGGTGGCCTGTCCGGCAGTGGCTGAAGGATAACTCCACTGGTTCAAGGATAACCCATTATAGATCTTGTACTGGCTCTGAAGAATGGACAAAAATTCTGGGTTAGATGGACCAGGATTCAATTTAGTTCAATTCAGTTTATCTATCATCAAGTCACAAGAAATATCTCAGGGCACTGTATATAAAAAAACAATCAATGGAAGCCAGTAGATTGCATTGAATCAATCGTAAAAGAATACCTGATGAGACCTGATTCTGTAACTGATGCAAAATATGGAGACACATAATACTTAGTTTTATAGGCTGAATACATATGTACACAGCATCTGTTAGTTCTCCCTTTTTTCAGTTTTTTTATCAATGATTTCCTCATTTAATTTTATTGTATTTTTGGTCTTAATTTATGCTTTTAATCAAATGATAAATTCAATTAAATACCAGGTTGTAAATATACAAAACAGTTTCTCAAGAAGGATAATTTCTTTTTCTTTTTTTGTAAAGCACAATATTTATCTTAAGAATAATAGAATATATTCAACAAGAGAATTCTGTGCCCTGAAAAATCTGGAATACCCAGAAGCAGGACTATTACAACTAATGGTGCAGTTAGGAATTTTCATCTTTATTCAACATTGTAGCTGACGCTGAATCCAAAGATATCCTCAGTTTGTTTACCTTAATTTGTAGTATAAGCCTCTGGTCAAGATGGTGACAACAAAGGATAAAAAGGAAAAGCAGACAATTTTATTATTATTGAACAGCATAAAAACTAACTCAAACAAATTTTTGCATCAAATAAATCAGTTGGAAGTGGGCAGTCTTTTTTTGGCACAATGTTTTGGTACATTTTTGTACATCAGAAGCATTTAATATTGTAGCATCAAACCTGTGATTTGCTGAGTAAATTTTTATATGGCAGCATAAAAATGTTTCATTTCAGGGAAATGTTAATTCTGAACCTAATAGATTAAATATGAGCATTCTGACAAATGTATTTCTTTTTTGTGTAAATTTAATTTGTCTTTTAACAATAAAAACAATATTGGGAAGCAACAGTTTATTTTCTTTCTAAAATGTACATTCACTTTAATTTTTTATCCCTTCCTTCATATGTTAAGAAAAAAGGCAAAGAAAAGTGAACCACTGGCAGAGAACACTGAATTATGAACAGTGAAAGAAACCTGCTTTGTCCTGCTGCCATGCACTCCGCTTCCATCAATGTGTTGGTGATTGTGGTTAATGCTAGTGCCTTTGCTGTCTTGTGAAACTGGGTATTGATTGTACAATTGTATGAACATGGCCTGGGGACAGACAGGCACTCTATTTACTATTGTTGGCACTCTATTTACTATTGTTGACTCAAATCAATCATATTTTTCTATGTAAGCTTTAAATAAATTTGCCTTTTTATAATGACTATGAGGAGGTTGTTGGTTTTTTCTACAAAGTTTAATTCTCAG